ATATTAACATGATTTCTCAAATAGTACCTTCCTATTAAACCTAAAATGCCATCATGAGGCATCTTATTTTTTGCAAAACTAAAGAAGAAAAATTGTTGCCAAATTAACTCTGATACAATGCTTTCTTGTTGTTTCATTATGTTTTCTTACTAAAATCTATACTGATTGAATAAGATCATTTAGAAATTTTTTTAATAAATTTAAAAGTTAACTCATGTGTATGTGAAAAAGAAAACAATTTTGAAAACAGTTAAGGTAACTCCTTAAATGGAAAAGACATGAGTATTAATGGGGAGGCTCCTACAGAGTTATTTGGAACTGCTTGTAAATTACTCTGCCACCCTCTGAGACTGCTGTGGCCTCAAGTTGCCACCTTCTCTGCTTAGAATCCTCTTCCATTCTCACCTGCCTGGTTAATTTTTACCTGGTCTTTAATATTCACTCTGTCCAGGAAGTAAAGCATTCATTCAATAAATATGTATTAAGCACTTACTAGGCACCAGTGACTCTTCTAGCATTTGGGACACAATATTCAAAATTCCAGACTTCGTAGAGACTGAAGGGAAACCAGGGCAGACAGACCACACAGGTAACAGAAAATATCAGCTGGTGATACATGCAAGGAAGAAAAATAAAGCCAATTAAGAGGATAAGGAACAAAGGAGTGGGGCTTTGGTCAGGAAGACTCCCTGAAGCAGCAGCACGTAAGCAGGAACCTTAATAAAGTCAGGGAATGAGCCGTGTGAATATTGAGCACTGCAGGTAGAAGAAACAGTAAGTGCAAAGTCTCAGAGGCAGATGTGGGTATGACATGTTTAGGAGAGGCTAGGAGGCTGGTGGAACTAGAGATGAGTGAGTGGAAGGGATGGTAGGAGGCAAGAAGCTGAGAAGGGTGATGGGGGACAGGTCACATAGAGTCTTCTTGACCCCTGTAAGGACTCGACTTTCACTGAGAAGTTATCAGATTTTTTTTAAATTTTTTACTTGGCTGTTTTGGGTCTTCGTTGCTGCACATGGGCTTTTCCTAGGGCTAGCAGGGGCTACTCTTCATTGTGGTGCAGAGGCTTCTCATTGCGGTGGCGTCTCTTGTTGGGGAGCATGGGCTCTAGTGTGCGGGCTCAATAGTTGTGGTACATGGGCTTAACTGTCCCAGAATCTTCCTGGATGAGGGATTGAACCCATGTCACCTACACTGGCAGCTGGATTCTTAAACACTGGACCACCAGGAAAGTACTGTCGGATATTTTTAAATGGAGGGGTGACATAATTGGACTCAGGCTTTCATAGGATGGTTCTGGCTGCCATAGTAGAGGACAGGCTATAGGGAACAAGGGAGGAAGCAGGTAGATCAGCAAGAAGGCAACATCAGTAATCCAAGCTAAAGATAGTCACGGCTTCAGTGGGGCAGCAGCCATGAGATGCTGAGGGTCACTTAGTGTCTTGAAACATTTTTATGGTAAAGCCAACAGGATTTCCTGAGACATATAGGAGACATGGAAGAGTCAAGGATGGCACTAAGGTATTTGGTTTGAACAATCAGAATGGAATTGCATCACCTGAGGCAAAGATGATGAGTGAATTTGGGACAAGTAAGGCTTGAACTGCCTATTGGGCATTCAAGTGGAGATGTAGAGTGGGCAGAAGGTAAGCCGGTCTGGCATTCAGGGAGTGGTCAGACTTGGAGACATGAGTGTAGGGTTGTTGATATATAGATTGTATTTAAAGAGGAAGGACTGATAAAGTCATCTGCAGAACAAAAGCACTCCAAAGACTGAAACTTGGGGGTCTCTAGTTTCTAGAGGTCAGTGGAATTGGGAAGTTGCTGCAGAGATTGCAAAAGATCAGCAAGTACAATGGTAATGCTTATGTTCTAAAAGTGAAGTGGAGAAAGTGTTTCTTGGAGGAGAGGATGGCTGACTGTAAGGTATAGCTGGGAGGTCAAGAACCCAGGATTGAACTTTACATGTGGCAGCTCAGAGGTCACTGGTGATCACACTCAAAACTGTTTCAGTGGTTTGCAAGAGAACTGGGGAAAAGAAGTTCATATGAACAATTCTCAAAGAATTTTGTTGGGAAGGTGATCAGAGATGGAGGAAAATACAGGTTAAGGTGGTTTTTTTTAAAAATGAAATTAACTTATTAGTTAGCTAAGGAACTATGAGGGGACATCGATGTGAATTTTTGAGAGCTTAACTTGGAGCCAGGAGAGGAGATTTAGAAAGGCTATTTTCATCTTTTCCCCATTAGCCCTGTCATCCCAGTTCTGCCTCTGTCTTTCACTAAATGGTGAGGGGTATGTTCATTTGGGGGCTTCCAAGGTGGTGCCTAGTGATAACCCACCTGCAATGCAGGAGATGTAAGAGATGTGTGCTTGATCCCTGGGTCGGGAAGATCCCCTGGAGAAAGGGGATCCACTCCAGTATTTTTGTCTGAAGAATCCCAAGGACAGAGGAGCCCGGTGGGCTATGGCCCAAAAAGTGTCGCAAAGAATTGGACTGACTGAAGCAACTTAGCACATACACATGTTCGTTTTTGTATCAACATCTTGTGCAGATGTCTAGTCTCTCTGGTATTTAGCAGACCAGGGAGACCACCTGCCATTTTATATTGGATGCCTACCTATCATGTCATGTCACCTCTTTTCTAGAAAACTGACATCTGGCCATATAAATCATCAGATACATTGATAATGCATGATTCATGTATTATAACATAACCTGATGGTTGTATGGTGAAGTGATTTATCACTGCTAGAGGAGGCATAATAATGTTCATACTCTTATACAATAATCAATTAATAAGCATGTTATAAGCATGTTGCATCATGGACTATTTAAATAGTCTTTAAGGGTCAGATTTCTGACCTTTATACACAGAATATTCTTCTAAGTATGAGAAAGTAGGCACCAGAAGACTTCTCTTCACCTAACACTGTATATAGTGAGAACCCATACTGATGTCTGATCATGTTTTACAAACTTGAGATGATTTCTAGAAGAATATAATAGAAATCAACTTTGTTATTACCATAGATAATAACATTAACATGGAAATGGCTGACTCATGGTAGAGCTGATTAGGAATGATTTTTTTTTCTCATGACAAGGCACATGGTTTTCCTTCTTAATAACAACACACAAATAGGCATCACTTTCCCCTTTCCTTCTTGGTGCATGCATGCGTTCTTGCTCAGTCATGTCCAACTCTTTGCCACCCCATGGACTGTAGCCTGCCAGACTTCTCTGTCCATGGAATTTTCCAGGCAAGAATACTGGAATGGGTTGCCATTTCCTTCACCAGGGGATCTTCCTGACCCAGGGATTGAACCCATATCTTTTGAGTCTCCTGCATTGGCAGGCATGTTCTTTATCAGCTGAGCCACTGAGGAAGCCCCTCCGTCTTGATAGTGTAGCAAAATAATAATAATAATAATAATAATGAGCTTTGGAGTCAGTCAGATCTACATCAAAATCCTTAGTTTATCTATACCATTTTTCTAGATGCCACATCTATGTGTTAATTCATAAATTTTGTTTTTCTCTTTCTGACTTACTTCACTCAGTATGACAGTCTCTAGGTTCATCGACGTCTCTGCAAATGGCACGGTTTCATTCCTTTTTATGGCTGAGTAATATCCACTGAATATACAGATGAACTTATTTTCAAAGCAGAAGTGGAGACGCAGATGTAGAGAACAAGCGTATGGATCTCAAAAAGAGAAGTGGGGGAGTGGGTGGGATGAATTGGGATTGACGTATATATATACTGTATGTGTGTCTGTTAATCACTCAGTCATTATGTATAAAATAGATAACTAATGAGAACTGACTTATATAGCGCAGGAAATTCTACTCAGTGCTCTATTGTGACCTCAATTGTGCCCCTCCTGCCGTCTTGTTATGGCTTCTCCTTTGTCCTTGGATGTGGGGTATCTTTTTTTGTTAGATTTCAGCATCCTCCTATTGATGGTTGTCCAACAGCTAGTTGTGATTTTGGTATTCTCAAAGGAGAAGATGAGCTCATGTCCTTCTACTCTGCCATCTTGATCTCCCTTAAAAAAAAATAAAAAAGGATATATGTATATATGTAGCTGATTCACTTTGCTCTACAACAGAAACTAATGCAATATTGTAAAGCAACTATACTCCATTAAAAATTAATTTTTAAAAAAGCTAACCATATAGTTGTAGGTAATTGCAGCCAGGTGTTTCTCTCCTCGGATCTCAGACCCGAGTGCATGTCCCCTGGCTGTCAGTGTGCGTGGTGACGAGATGGCAGGAACTGGTTTGACACCAACATGAACCCTTCACCTAAAACTCAACTCAACCCCAGGGATTTCTGAGCTTTGAAGGTTTGATGGCTTTCCTTGCTTAATCAGTCTCTGTTAAGCTCCCTTGAGGCTAAAGAGGGAAGAAGGGGCCATGAATTTTGTGTTTTTCTGTGGGAAAGTACACTTCCAAAAGCAGCATCCCTTCCTTGAAATCAGTGTATAATTAAAGGAAATACAGTGTTCCCTGCTTTGTAAAACTAGTGTCAAAATGCCCTCTTGAGTGCCTTCTCCCATCTAAAATATGGGCCCTCCTTTTTATTAAAACATACATTACCACATGTAAAACAGATAGCCAGTGGAGATTGGCTGTATGGCAGGAAGCTCAAACCTGGTGCTCTGTGACCACCTAGCGGGGTGGGATAGGTGGGAAGCAGAGTCAAGAGAGAGGGGACATGTGTATACCTCTGGCTGATTCATGCTGATGTATGGCAGAAGCCAACACAGCATTGTAAAGCAGTTATCCTCCAAGTAAAAATAAACAACTTTAAAAAAAGAAATTGTGGAATCTCCAAGGCCTGATAGAGTAACAATATGCATAATAGTTTAAACATACATGTTAAATTAGGTTTCATCTGCCCCCCCCACCCCACTCAGTGATAGCTGCCAGACACTCTGAGAAAATCTGTCCCAATGCCCATGAAACACCAGCTTCTGTTTCTCTGACCCACAGGAACATCAGAACAGGAAGGTACCTTCTTAACAACAGTAATTAAGGACTTAGCGAGCTCTCTGTTTCACCAACAAACTCTTTAAGTCAACAATCTCCTACTCATCCATTGGCATATGTTTTCCTGAGTGATAATTGCCACTCTTCCCACAGGTAAGTTTTTCTGGAAAAAAATAGGTTCATTATTGGATGACTTAAAAAAATAAACTTTTTATTTAAATTGAAGTATAGCCAATTAACAATGTTGTGATAGTTTCAGGTGGACGGCAAAGGGGCTCAGCCTTTCTTATACTTGTATCCATTCTCCCTCAAACTCCTTCCCATCCAGGCTGCCCCATCATGTGAGCAGAGTTCCCTGTGCTATACAGTAGGTCTTTGTGGTTAATACTGGATTGATTTTAGTCAGGCAAAGAATACCCAAGCCCTTACCACTACTCCATCCCTGTGAAAACTGCAAATTAGCTTCACCAGGAAAAAGAAGAGGGATTGTATGAAAATGAAACTGATTACAAAACCTTCCTACCTAAAAAAAAAAAAAAGAAAAAGTATTTCATCATATACAGAGGCATTATCAGGTGGTCATAGCTATGTCAAAGTGTATGTCACTGCATAGTCAAAGCAATGCTTTTTCCAGTCATCATGTGGATGTGAGAGTTGGACCATAAAGAAGGCTGAACGCTGAAGAATTGATGCTTTTGAGTTGTGATGCTGGAGAAGTCTCCTGAGAGTCTCTTGGACTGCAAGGAGATCCAACCAGTCAGTCCTAAAGGAAATCGACCCTGAACACTCATTGGAAGGACTGATGCTGAAGCTGAAGCTCCAATACTTTGGCCACCTGATGTGGAGAGTGGACTTGTTGGAAAAGACTCTGACACTGGGAGAGATTGAGGGCAGAGGAGAAGGAGGTGACAGAGGATGAGATGGTTGGATAACATCATTGACTCAGTAGACATGAGTTTGAGCAAACTCTGGGAGACAGTGGAGAACAGAGAAACCTAGTGTGCTGCAGTCCAAGGGATCGAAAAGGAGTTACACACGGCTTAGCAACTGAAAGTGTGTAGTCGCTCAGTCGTGTCCGACTCTTTGCTGACCCTGTGGACTGTAGCCCACCAGGCTCCTCTGTCCATGGGATTCTCCAAGCAAGAATACTGGAGTGGGTTGCCATTTCCTTCTCCAGGGGATCTTCCCAACCCAGGGGTCAAACCTGGGTCTCCCGCATCACAGGCAGATGCTTTACCCTCTGAACCACCAGGGAAGCCCTTAGCAACTGAATAACACAACAAATCAGGTAGTGATTAAAATCCTGGACTCTAGAATTAGAGCTGTATATGGATTACTGCTTTAAACCAGTAACTGCTCATGTGACTAAGTAGCTTGGCTTCTGTATGCCTGCTTCACAGGGTGTTGTTAGACTTGTATGAATAAGACAATGTATTGCAGTGTTTTGATGGTAGATAGTAGTCAGTTGTTTAAAAGAAAACTATGTTAGATGGTCCTGATTACAGCTGATATGAACACAAACAGCCAACAGGGATTCACACAGCTCCATTGTTAAGAATTTCTGCTCTTGGAAAAGAAAAAAATTGGTTCCCATCGCAAAAGACCACATATTATATGGTTGTATNTTGGGGGGCTCCAAAATCACTGCAGATGGTGATTGCAGCCATGAAATTAAAAGATGCTTACTTCTTGAAAGGAAAGTGATGACCAACCTAGATAGCATGTTAAAAAGTAGAGACATTACTTTGCCAACAAAGGTCCATCTAGCCAAGGCTATGGTTTTTCCAGTGGTCATGTATGGATGTGAGAGTTGGACTGTGAAGAAAGCTGAGGGCTGAAAAATTGATGCTTTTGAACTGTGGTGTTGGAGAGGACTCTTGAGAGTCCCTTGGACTGCAAGGAGATCCAACCAATCCATCCTAAAGGAGATCAGTCCTGGGTGTTCATTGGAAGGACTGATGCTGAAGCTGAAACTCTGGTGCTTTGGCCACCTCATGCAAAGAGTTGACTCATTGGAAAAGACCCTGATGCTGGGAGGGATTGGGGGCTGGAGGAGAAGGGGATGACAGAGGATGAGATGGCTGGATGGCATCACCGACTCGATGGGCATGAGTTTGAGTAACTCCGGGAGTTGGTGATGGACAGGGAGGCCTGGTGTGCTGCGATTCATGGGGTCACAAAGAGTCGGACATGACTGAGCGACTGACCTGAACTGAACTGAACAACATCCAGCTCCCTTTTTGTTCTCTTCTTTCACATCCCTGACTCCTCCCCAGAGATAAGCACTAACCTGAATTCTGTGGGTCTTACCTGATGGCTCAGCAGTAAAGACATCTGCCTGCAATGCAGGAGACAAGGGTTCAGTCCCTAGGTACACAAGATTCCCTGGAGGAGGAGATGAGAACCCAACCCACTCCAGTATTCTTGCCTGAAGAATCCCATTGACAGAATACCTGGTGAACTACAGTCTATAGGGTCACACAGAGTTGGACACAACTAAAGTGACTTAGCATGCACTCTGAATACTGTGTTTACCATTCCCTTGCCTTTAAAAAAAAAAATAGCAATATGCATGCCTCAATGGCATATTTAGCTAGCTTAGTTTTAGCTTTAATTCTCCATAGTCTTTGAACTTTATAAAAAAAAGTCTATCAAGTTTTATGTGGTCTTCTGGGACTTGGATTTTTCATTCAACATGGATTCATCCATGCAGAGGAGTGCCTCTGTGGCTCTTTTGTTTTCATGTCATAGAATGTTTCATGTTCTGCATACACTATGATTTATTTATGCACTCTTCTTTCAGTGGGTTTTGAGATTGTTTCCAGTGTTTTGCTAGTATAGTATGTTCAACTGTTATTATTGTTTGTATATTGTCTCCTTTGTGCATGCTAAATTTTCTCTTAGGTATGTCCTTACAGAAATTGGTGTGTGTGGGTGCTCAGCTGTTCAGTCACGTCCGACTCTTTGCAACCTCTTGGACAGTAGCCCACCAGGCTCCTCTGTCCATGGAATTTTTCAGGCAGGAATACTGGAGTGTGTTGCCATTTTCTCTTCCAGGGGATCTTCTCCACCCAAGGATCGAACATGTGTTTCCTGTGTCTCCTGCATCGGCAGGCAGATTCTTCACTACTGCATCACCTGAGAAGCCCCACAGAAATTGAATATATACTGATTAGACTTGCTGGGTATGCAGGCATTCAGCTTTCCAAGATAACATTACATGGTTTTTCAGTTTCTACCAGCTATGTGTATGAGACCTTCTCCACATCCAACACCTTGGTATTGTCAAACTTCTTAAATTTGTCAATAAAATAGATGTAAACCAGTGTTTCATGGGGAAAAAATGTCATCCATCTCTTCCTGATTATTGGTGAGATGAGCGTCTCTTTGTTGATCATGTGTTTCTTTTTTAAAAATAAATATGAAACAACTTTTATTTAAAACTTGAAGTCTATCAAGTTTTGAAGTCTAAACCTCAAATATTGCCTAATTATATTTCATTAGCTCCTCCCTGTCTAGAGGCTGCATTGATTGGTTCCATACATATTCTTGTTCTATTAGATGCTTCTTTATGGTTTCTACCCATTTTTATGCTGAGCTGAGGTTTTTCTTATTTGTAGGAGTACTTTATATATTTTTGAAACTGATTTTCTGTTGGATGTATATGTTTCAGATATTTTCTTCAAGTTTGTAGCTTATATTTGTACTTTCATTGAAGACTCTCTTTTAATTTTTTTAACTTTTTTTTCAAATTTTAAACTTTTTATTTTGTTTGGAGGTATAGCCAATTAGAAAAACATCTACTTCTGCTTTATTGACTATGCCAAAGCCTTTGACAGTGTGGATCACAACAAACTGTGGAAAATTCTTCAAGAGATAGGAATACCAGATCACCTGACTTGCCTCCTGAGAAATCTGTATGCAAGTCAAGAAGCAACAGCTAGAACTGGACATGGAACAACAGACTGGTTCCAAATCCAGAAAGGAGTACATCAAAACTGTATGTTGTCACCCTGCTTGTTTAACTTATATACAGAGTACATCATGAGAAATGCTGGACTGGATGAAGCACAAGCTGGAATCAAGATTTCNGGTAGACTCCGGGAGTTGGTCATGGACAGGGAGGCCTGGCATGCTGCAGTCCATGGGGTCGCAAAGAGTTGGACATGACTGAACGACTGAGCTGAACTGATAGCCAATTAATGGTGTTGTGGTAGTTTCATATGAACAGCAAAGGGACTCAGCTATACAGATACATGTATCCACTCTCCCCCTAAACCCCTCCCATCCAGGCTGCCACATAACATTGATTAAGAGTTCCATGTGCTGTAAAATAGGTCCTTGCTGGTTATCCATTTTGAATATAGCAGTGTGTACCTGATCTTCCCAAACTCCCTAACTATTCCTTCCCCCCAGCAACCATAAGTTCATTTTCTAAGTCTGTGAGTCTCTTTCTATTTTGTAAGTTCATTTGTATATCTTTTTAGATTACACATGTAAGGGATGTCACACAATATATCGCCTTCTCTTTCTGACTCACTTCACTCAGTATGACATTCTCTAGGTCCATCCATGTTGCTGCAAATGGCATTATTTCGTTCTTTCTATTGGCTGAGTAATCTTCCATTGTATATATGTACCACATCTTACCTTTGTTGATGGGCATTTAGGTTGCTTCCATGTCTTGGCTATTGTAAATAGTGCTGCAGTGAACATTGGAGTGCATGTATCGTTTCAGATCATGTTTTTCTCCCTATACATGCCAAGGGTGGGATTGCAGGGTTATATGGTAGCTCTATATTTAGTTCTTTAAGGAACCTCCATACTGTTCTCCATAATAACTATACCAGTTTACATTCCCATCCACAGTGTAGGAGGGTTCCCTTCCATTGCAGACTCTTTGGACAAACAGAAATTCTCAGTAAAAATATAGTCAAACTTATGTATCTTTTCTTGTATAACTAGAAATGTTTGTGTCTTGACTAAGAAATTCCTATCCCAATGTTATTAAGATACTCACTAGTTCTTCTGAAAGTTTTCAAATTTTGCCTTGACATTTGTATTCTTAATTTATTCGGTATTGATTTTTGATGGTGTGAGATAAGGTTCCTTTTCAATGATTTCCGTGTAAAAAGCTACCTTTTTTCAGTGAA